AAGGAGGAAGAAAAGAAGGGAATAAGCTTTTATCATCTACCTACTTTCTGCCAAACCCCGTGCTGAGAGTTTTACAAATAACATTTCATTTGATCTGGAGAATTGCCCTCAGTTTTACACATTATAGTGTTGTTTAAACATTTTTCAGTCATGTCCAACTCTTCATGACCCCATTTGGGATTTTCTTAGTAGAGGTACTGGAATGATTTGCCATTTCCTTCTCCAGCTCATTTCACAGATGAGGAAACTGAGGTAAAGGGGGTAAAGTGACTTGCCCAGGGTCATACAAGTACTAGGTGTCTGAAGCCAGATTTGAACTCACAAAAACTAGACTTCTTGACTCCAGGGAGGGCACTCTATCCACTGTGTCATCTAGCTGTCCCTTTAGTTAATATATTAAATATACTAGAAATAAGAATGATGAAAAACCTCAAGTTCATGCCTTATAAGGATCAATTGAAGGAAATGGGATCGTTCAGCTTGGAGAAAAAATGTCTTGGAAAGACAGAAGAACTGTCTTTAAGTGTTTGAAACGCTGTCATATGGAAGAGGGATTGGACTGATTCTGTTTGACCCTATAGGGCAGAAGTAGGGGAAGAATGTGGAAACGACATCAGGCTTGATGCCAGGAAAACTTCCCTAACAATTAGAGCTGCCTCAAAGTGGGAAGACTATCTCAGCTGGTTGTATGTTTCCTCTTATTGGAGTTTATGCAAAGCTTGGATGACCACTTGTAGGGTATGTTGTGGGGGGTTTCATTTTTGGCTACAAGTCTTCTGAGGACCTTTGCAGTTCTGAAATTGGGTCATTCTGTCACATATATAAAGAGCATTTAAGTCTATGAACAATAGCAAAGAAAGTAACACCAAAAAATCAGTGAGTATACAAGTCACTGCATTTCTGTTATCTCGAAAGGAACAAAAGTTGTGTCCTAATGTTAGTAAGGTAGTAATAAAGTCAGAGTTTATATTCGCCATGAATTATGTTTTTGTTTAACATCATCTTTATTTGTTTAGTTCTAGTCAGCCTGTGTATTATTCTTTTGGTCCCGTTTTCCTCATACGGCATCACTTAAAATCATATATTTCATCTTCTCATATTTATTTGAATTTTTCACATTTATTTGAAATGGAAAATCTGCCAAAGGGAATGGTCTATATCCTTCTATTAATAATGTCCCACCATTTCTCAACCCACTATCATGTAAGTATTCTTATAGGTAAACTGGTGTAATGAAAGACACTTAGAGAGTAAGAAGACGAGTTCAAATTATGATTTTCGCTAACTGTAATAAGCTCTGTGAAAGTAGGGGTCCTGCCTTAATTATCATTTTATCTCCTCTAATGTCTACCACAGCCCTTTATACATTATTTCTTCAGGCTAAATTTTCCTAGTTCATATGATGTCTTTTATTATAACATACTGTCCAGGTCCCTTGATCCCCTTTGCTTTGATACTATCAGGATAGAGAAGAGATCTCCTTGCCTATAAATAAATCAATAGACAAATGTTTGACTCCTTGCTATGTGTAAGACACCATATTAGGCACTGAGGGAGACATAAGTGGGAGACATAAGTCCTTAGTCCCAGCCCTTAGCGAGTTTCTAATTTAGTTGGAGAGGCAAGACTTGCATACTGTAAAATAGAACTGGAAATACCAGGTAATTATCTACCGTTCGGGTGTTGAACCAAACTTCACCCTTGTGGACTTAAATATTTTTTTAACCTGTTCTCTAAGATCTCCTCCATCTCTGACAGTCTATGACTCTGAGCACAGCTCTGCTCTGAAGACCTAAGTAATGCCCAGGATTACACACTCTAAGATCCTCAGGTAGAATCCTTTGGCTTCTTCCTCTCCATTTAGCTAAGGGTAGCATATCATTACTTTTACGATGCTCCTGTTTCTATTTTCAATTTTCAGATTCTACATGGGAAGAATAGATCCATAACTAGAGTTAGAAGGGAACTCAGAGGCCATCCAAGCCATTTTACAGTTAAGGAAACTTAGGCCCAGGAAGTTGTGACTGGCTCAAGGTCACATAGGTAGGATTTGAATTCATGTCTTCTGATTCTGGAACTATCGTTCTTTCTCTGGCACTATGCTGCTAACATTGGAAATAGATTGCAGTCCCTTGTTTAGTTGACTTCTATTTGACTTTCTTGGATATTCAAGGATATCCTCTTTCTTCTTTCTCCATCTTTTATCCACCTAAACCAAGTAATAAGGTATTTGCTCAGAATCAATCACCCTGGTGTGGGGCTCCCCATTTTATTTATTTCTTTCCTGGGCCATCAGGTAAGCAATTCCCCAGCTCAACTTCTTCAAAGAGGCTGTCACATGACCAACAAAGGGAACACGAAGCCTAGCTTTGAGGTTAGGATCCCCCTAAAATGAAAGTAGTTTGGTTTTGTAAGAGTCCCCAGGAAATCCTTCCAATATCCTTTTCTTCCTTCTTTGGCCATTTCTGAGATCTCTAACTGGGAATCTGGTATGGAACATCCCCACATAATTCCCAGATATTAGACATCTGTGGAATCACCTAAGATTTCAGTGACTTCATCTAGATGCATAAAGACCCCATGTTTAATGTTTATCAGACATCCCCTATGACTGCTGTTGACCCACAATCCTATTTTCAGGCCTTTCTGATAAGACAATGCCCCATAGAAGGCTAATTGAAATTATGCAAAAGGTGTGAAGTACCCAATGAGTACACATGGTTTGAGCCTTAGAATATATCTTATTTAGGCCAAGTATTACCTCTTCTCTTTTGTAGGCGGCATGACATATTATTTCCCCTGGAATCACCATTGAGTTCAAGCCTGAGTGTTGGCATTTACTAGCCTTGTGACTTTACAAATCTTACGACCTCCCTGGGTTTTGATGTACTCATCTTTAAAACGAAAGGGCTGGAACAAATGAAGAATAACAAGGCTGTGAGAAGTTCAGGTCAATCTCAGTGGCATCTGTAGTCTTAAAGAAGTTTTTTTTGTTCTTTTTAAACCATCCATTCTTTTGGCTTCATTGTCAAGAATAACTTTCCCCATGTGAGGAACTTAAAGTGATAACTGTGATTCCACTCACCCATGAGCAGGCCTGGTTAATGGGGTCCTGGGGCCATTTTATAATTTGATTTCTCAGGCAGTGTGTTTTCTCCTTCCCAAGAACAGATTCCATCTAGGGAAGCTCTAGAATTATTCACACCCCATTTGAGCTCGAAATGGGTGGCATGAGTCATCTAGAGAAAGAATTTCCTTTCCCTGAGACATTCATTAAAATCATCACCTAGGGACTTCAATTGATTTCATTTCCAAACAACTTTTTCTTCATCAAACAAAGGGAAAATTAGAGGGGACAATAAAATTATTTCCTGTTACAAGCATCACCCTAATGTGGTCAGGAAAAAAATGACCCCTTCAGGGTTAAATACAGCCAGAGATTTTTTCCCAAATAGTCAGTATTTTTAAATTGCAAAATTGTCTCCTGTTTAAGAAGTTGTCTCTGACATTTAAGAAGTCTAAGCTCATTTCTCCAAGGGAAGCGATAATGCAATGGGTTTGGATTTTTATTTGTTTTTCAATCTGTTATTATTTGTCTCTGGGACTAAAGGGGATAGAATAGCATTCCCTAGAATCTTAGGGGAGTGGGGAATTTATAGGAATATTGTATAATTTTGTGGATCATCTGTATGACCTTAATTGAATTGGCCCCAGATTCTATCAAAAGAAATGGCTTTGAAAGTCTCACTATTTTATAATGAAAGGCCTTATACTACATTAATTTCTGTTACTGATGCTGTTTTCTGAATGAGACAAAATTCCTGATTAAACTATATGGACTCCCTGAATTATAAACACCTGATTTATGAATGATATCCATGAGTGGCCAATGCAGGCTTGGGAGAGGGGGTTATGCAACAGAGCATAAGATGTATTTGTTGAGCTGCCATTGGTGATGTTCTGGGTGGCCAATGGCGCCATGCTGCCTAGCAGAAATAAACAAGAAGGGGAAATGATGCAGAAAGAGCATATTTCTGGCCTTTATGTTCCCAGTGGGAAAAATGGTACAGACTCAGTGTCATACATGGTGGTTAGGTTTCCAGGCCTGCCCACAAAATGCTATTGAAACCAAATTATCATAGATATGTTACTCTAATACCCAATTATGGGTTAAATAAGCCTTTTATGAGTTGGCCCAGGGGACTGACCACCATGTATTACATTGACATTCAAATCCTTTTCTCATAGGAATTAAAAACTATCTCAGAAATGAGTTTTTGGATCACAATGAGCTTAAGTTGGGAATTCCTTGTAGTATAGTTGAAAGGACATGGGATCTGAAATCATAGAAACTGCATGCAATTCCCATCTATGGCACCTACCACCTATGTGACTGAACAAGTCATTTCAATTCTCTGGTCCTCAGTTTCCTTGTATGTAAAAGGAGATGGTTGTACTTGATGACTGACCTCTAAGATCTTTTCCAGCTCTTCATTTATTATCCTGTGAACCCATGTCTGAAAAGCTTGGCTTCTTCCTTACCACGTTCTACCCTAGCTGTGCTAATGCTTGACTATTGTCCACCACCCTCCAGGGAAATCAGGGATAACCACAAAGTCTCCATTTTGATATGATACCTTCATTTTCTACCATCTCCCTTGTTTGTACACCTCTGATCTGCTGTTCAAGTACAACTTTAGCCTCTGGTATGAGGGCTTGCTGAACTTAATCTCTTTCAGTGGGTAAAATGGAGCTAATAATACTTGAGACTACCTACTTCTTGGGGTCAGCAGGCACCTCAGATGAGACAACACGTTTTAAAGTTCTTTACAAATCTGAAATTAGGGCAAAGATATTCCAGTGCCTTGTACATTTCTTTCTTTAAATTTTTGACTGTATGATTTCATTGGTGTATGGAATTTTTGGTGAAGAAATTCCCTCTGCCAAATCATATTGGCAACTACTGGGAGATTTATAGTGTCTTGCTTCTTTTCCTGCAGGGCCAAGGAGATTAAGACTAAGTTGGGCACTCTCCTGCAGAAGCCTGATGCGACCATCGACTTTATCATACCATATCCCGATAAGCCAGAAAAGCCTGTGAAGACCCAAAAGTGAGTATTGAATAAACATCAACCACTTCCCTCCAAGGATTGGCACTTTGATATGAATGACCCCTTTCATCTGTAGAATGCCCAAGATTAGAGCTTCAGGAAGCACCCTCCCCACCAAGAACCCCCAGAGATCTGGCTAGCGAATAAAGTCATAGGGTATCTCATATCTCTCCTGCCCATGGCATCAGGCAGTGAATGTTGGGGGCATCCTACAAAACAAAACAGTAGGTCCTTCCCTAGAAGACCAGAGAATATCATGGAAGAGACAAAACTCATGTATATGACATGGCTTCAGAAACTTAACTAAAGGCCCCCAACATACATCTTACATTTGGGCTCAATGAAACCATTTCACAAGGGTCACAGATCATGTAGGCAATGGTCTGTCTGGGAAAAGATCTGGGAGATTTAGTTGACTGCAAACTGAGTATCAGTCTATAGTGTGATATTGTAGCAGAAAGACCCCCTCCCTTCAAACAAGCATATTCTTAGGCTGCCCTGAGAGTTATAGAATTCAAGACTAGGTAGGTCATAATCCCAATGCATCTGTCCCTGTCCAACCATATGTGGAATACTATGTTCAGTTCTGGGCATCACAGTTAAGAAAAACTAGTGACAAACTGGAGCACACCCCAAGGAAGATGAGCAATATGGTGTGAGGCCTCAACGTCACAGGAGTTTTAGTTGAAGAAACTTGGGATATTTAGCTTGGAGAAGTCACAGTGGAGAGCTGTAGATGCAGGATTAATTATCTTCCAGTATTTTCAGGGCTCTCATGAAGAAGAGGGATTGAATTTGTCCTGCTTGGCACCAGAAAGAGAAAGAAGGATTTGAAACAATGGGAGGAAGGTATAAAGAGCTAATTTTCAGCTCCATGTAAGGAAAAAAAAAAACAAAACTCTTCCTAACAATTAGAGATATCCAAAAGTGGAATGATTTGTATCAGGAATAATGGGCTGCCCTTCACTAAGGGTCTTCCAATGGAGTCTGAATACCCATTTATTGGCTATGTTGTAGAAGGAATTCTTGTGTCCTGCTGTGGAGTGGATAATCTCTGAAGCCCCTTCCAACTCTGATTCTCTGTAATTCTAACTTTGTGATTCTGAGTGGTTATAGTGAAAGTATTTAATCATACCCAGTAGTTGTGGTTTGGTTGAAAAAAAGCAATAGTCGTGGAGTCAAAACACTTGGGTACCAGTCCCAATTCTGACACTTACCAGCTTCATGACTTTAGTAAATTAATTAACTTCTTTGGAGCCTCAGTTACTCCATCTATAAAATGGAGATAATAATAATACTTGTAATGACCTACATCAGAGAATTTTGTGATGGGAAAAAAAAGCTTTGTAAGCCTTATAGAGATATATAAAAATTTATTATTACTCAAGGATTTATAGAATTCTTAACCTAAAACAAACCTAGAGACTCCATGGTTTAACGTGACTAGAGAAGCGGGAGAGAGCTTTATCCAAAGCACAAAGGAAGTTAAAATAAGTTTTAATTTAGAAGAAATAAAACAACTTTCTCAGCATAAAAACCCCTGACCTTGTCCTTCCATTCAATGACAAATAGCTTTGGCCTACCCAGCTACTTGACTCTGATACTGATATATCATGTGGCTTCAGTGAGACAACATAATTAAAGGGTTACATTCATGTTCATTTCCTTGTTTCATGAAAGATTCCAAGGGGTTTCCAAGAACCCTAGGAAATTCCCAGGGAAATTCTGGACTAGAAATGGTGACCCTAAAATACACTTTAACTGATGTAACCCTTTTAAGAAGAAAATGGACATGGAAACTGGGAATAGGTCAAGAATTAAAGGACTTACTAGATGTCTACCAACCAATATGTATCATCTATATTAATCTCCATATTTTAAAGATAAGGAAACTGGGTACTAGAGAAGCCAAATTACTCGCCCAAGGTCCGAGAGTAGTAATAAATAGTAAAGCAGAAATTTGAATATAAGTTATCTGACTCCCAGTTTTAATACTCCTTCCATTAGGCTTTCCTTTCCATTCCTTAGAATGGAAAGAAAATAGAATTCAAACTCAGTAAATCTAGGCTCTGGTCAGTGTGGCATAATAGAAAGTCCTCACTGGAATGAGGACCTCTCTTTGGACCTCAGTTTCTTTATCTGCATGCTAGGTGATGCAATGGATAGAGTGCTAACCCTGGAGTCAGGAAGACCTAAGTTTAAATCCAGTCTCAGATTCTAGCTATGTGACCCTGGGCAAGTCAATTTAACCCTGTTTGCCTCAGTTTCCTCATCTGCAAAGTGAACTGGAGAAGCAAATGACAAACCACTCCAGGATCTTTGCCAAGAAAACCCCCGAAAGGGTCATGAAGAGTCAGATATGATTGAAAAACGACTAAATAAACAAAAGGCCAAATGCCTCTGTTGTGAGAATCAATGGATTTAATATGTGCAGAAATGCTCCTTAGGGAAGGATACTTTGGCCTCATTTTGTAAGGGCAGAGGCTATAGATAGGGCAGGAAAGGCAACCCAAGATCTCAGAGTTGGAAGGGACCTTCCATCTAGTCCATCTTATGTCTTAACTGGCCTGTTTCCTGAAATATTACCAGACAAATGGCCACGTAGCCTTTGATTGAAGAACTTCACTCAGGGGAAAACCTACTACTTCTGAGGTACTTCTGGGTAACTCTGATTTGTAGGAGTTTTTTTTTTTTTTTGTCTTGTTTTGTTTTTTGTTGTTGTTTTTTATTTGTCTCTGGGCAACCTCCACCTGCTGCTGAGGTATAGGGTGTGTTCAGAGAAGACTAGTACCTGTGGCGTAAGGGCTGCTGAGCCCTTTACAGGGCTGCTTTCCACATTTGGTGTCCACCTGATCTACCTAACTCTCTCCTATGCCTCCAAGAAGCTGTAGCATACTCAGTGGCAACACCGAGTAACTGTTTCAGCAGATGGGCTGAACCAGGTTGAGAGTAACCAAGGGGTCTCAAACCGGTCGGTGAGTTAGGGAAGTATCTACCCCAAGCAAGGAAGTAGAATGGGGAAGGAGAACAATTTGTTCCAATGGCCATGAAGGCAGCTGAAACAGACTCTGTGGAGTGCTTAGAGCTTGGTCAGACATCAAAGGCGCCAAGGTCATTCCCTGTATCATCCCCAGTCGTCTTGATTTTTTCCTGCCACTGGATTTGATAACTTTGGAAGAGAGAGTGAGGCTGATGACTTCATGCAACTCTGCCTCACTTAAGTCTAATTTATGTATGAATCAAAAGACATTACTATTTTACCATTTTTACCTATCTCAAAGTCCTGTGGCAGCAGGCAAGTGACAAAGCACAGGTGTGGATAGACTGGGAGCTGTAGTCACAATCCGGCAAATAAGTGGCCCAGGCCATAGGGTCATCTTCTCCATGGAAGCAGCAGTGGGATTTGGCAGCCCCCTGGGTGTCTGAGCAGCCTTTCAAGGATTGCACTGCTCACCTCTTGGTGTGAGGAAGGGCCTAGAAAAAGGACCCTAAAAATTGTCTGCTTACCCAACCCTGGCCCAGTTACCATGACAGGCAGGTCATGGTATCCTGCATCAAAACACACACACACACACACACACACACACACACACACACACATGCAAATGTACAAAAACTTCTGCAAAGATGATTCCACTCACCACTGGTACGTGGAAAGTACGCACACTTACAGAAAATACAAAATCCTGTAGACTTGAAAGACAAACAGTTCTTGCTGTTAGGGAACTCAGCAGGCATTACATCCAAATGGTAGCCCTGAGTGAAACAAGGCTGGCAAAGGAAGGTCAACTTACTGAAGTCAGAGGAGACACGTGTTTTTCTGGAGTGGTCAAAGTGAAGGGGAACACCATAAAGCTGGTGTAGGTTCTGTGATCAAAACTAATATAGCCAACAAGCTTGTATGCCTACCAAAAGAAGTGAACAACAGACTCATGACAATGAGACAATTTTAGGAAAATGCCATGCCACTATCATCAGTTTCTATCCTCCCACCACGAAGAACCCTGATGAAGTCAAAGAAAAATTTTGTGAAGACCTGGAGACCCTTATCGTGCCAAAAAGGACAAGCTTATAATTCTGGTTGACTTTAATGCTAGAATAGGCTCAGACTGCCAGATGTGTCAGACAGTACTTGGGAGGAATGGAGTTGGAAACAGCAATAGCAACAGTCACTTACTACTGAAGATTTGCACATCTCATGACCTTCTCATCACCAACACTGTCTTCCATTTACCTAAATGTAATAAAACTTCATGGATGCACTCTTTCAGCAAACATGGAATTTAATAGACTATGTGATTGTAAGGAGAAGAAAGAGAGAGGATGTGAGTATAATGAAAGCATTGTGTGGCACAGAGGGCTGGACTGATCATAGACTTATCCTCTCCAAGCTAAACATTCACATTCAACAAAAGCAGAGGCCCCAAGGCAAAATGACTTCCAGAAGAATTGATGTCAACAGATTAGAGCCCTTCTCTGAAAGGGAACAGTTTGTTGCTAACTTGGGAGAAAATTGAGCCAACATACAGCTGGCAACAGTGGAGCAGAAGAGAAGTGAGCAGGGCTGAACACTTTCATAGTGTCCTCAACAGACTGTCATCAATCAATGCTGAAACCATTGACTATTTACCTCAGACTGAAGTCAATCTCTCTCTAGCTGAAATTCCACCTGAAGAAGAGGTTTTGAATGCCATTAGGCTCCTTTAGCGTGGTAAAGCACCTGGTCCTGATTCTCTTCTAGATTTGCAAGGTGTGTGTGTGGGGGGCGGTCCATTGCTCATATAAAAGCTGACTGAAAATTTTCTGGGTTACATGGCAAGAAGAGTTATCCCCCAGGAGTTCAAGGATGCCTCCATTGTCTATCTCTATAAAAGTGAAGGAAATAGATTGTCTTGTGACAAACACAGGGTGATCTCTCTTTTAGTAGTCATTGCTGGCAAGATTCTTTCCAGAGACCTTCTTAATGGGCTGATCCCTCACCTGGATGATAGTCATCTACC